GGGGCGGGGACACCCCCCTCACACCGCCCACGGGGCCTGCCCTCCTCCGAGCACCGCGCCGGGAGCCTCCGCGACATCCGCGACATCCCCTCCGCCTGGACGGCTCCCGGGAACGTTGCTCCCTGCCCCGGATAATTCTCCCGCAAGCTATGACCTCCCCGGGGGCAACACCACCCTCCCCAAGCACAGACTCAACACCCTAGGACCAACCTCTATGCCCCTGGGAACACCCTGGGACCTGCCACCCCTCTCAGCATCCCTGTCCCCCCTCCAAACAGAGCCCCCCTTGTTCCATCCCAGACAGAGGCAGAGCCACAAGTGGTGTCAGTCCTTTTAATGCCCCTTTCACAAACCCCTTTCACAGATCCCTCCCCACAGCCCCCCCTTCACATTCACAGCTGCCCTCCCACTCACCCCCCCTGCCACAGGTCGCATCGGGTGGGGGAAAACACTGGAAGAAACAATGTGAGCGACCTTCAGGCTCCCCCACCGCAGCCCAGGGGGTCCAGCAGGCATTGCCCTCCTCCATCCAACCCACCAAGGGCCAGGCAGGGGTTACAGCCAAACAGACAGATAAGAAAATACTTCTGATATTTCTCAGAAACAGCTTTTAGAAACCACAGTTTTTAACAGCTCCCCATAGAAAAGATGGGTTTGGGTAAGGGTCTTCACTAGTAGAAACGCTTGTTCCGCTCCTGGCGTTTCTGGAAGACCACGGCTCCCACCACAGCACAGACGATGATGCCCAGCAGAGCGCAGAGCAGGAGCAGGAACACCTTCCAGCCCGTCAGGGGCCCACTGCGGAAATTCCCTGTCGGGTCATCCACGTTGTCTGCAAGGACAAGAACAGCTCCAGGGACCGAGCCAGCCCCGGCTCCCGCGGGATCCCACAAGGCCGGGCAGCCCTGATGCCCATCAAGTGGCCTTAGAGAGTCCAGCCCCTGCATCCGAATCCTCCTCTGGAGGTGGAGACTCACCTTTGGGTGATTTAAGAAGGCTGACGCTAGGCTCAATCTTGGTCCAGTCAACGGTCTCATCTTCTAGAGGGTGCTCCACCATGAGCTGGAACAGCTTCATCGAGATAATGTCGTGATTGTCTAGGAAACAACCATCAGCACTGTTAGAAGCTCCGAGATGTCCAAGTGCTCAGAGCACCCCTAGGACCATCCTCTGCTCTCCTTCCCTCTCAACCCCATCCTCACAACCCACGTGTCAAACTGCAGTTTGAGATGTTCCTCAGCTCTCAGGTGCCTCCTTTCTCAGGCCATGGGTCCCTCCCCAAAAATATTTTAACAATTCAGGAAAAAAGATACCACTAAAAGTCATCCAATGCATCCCTAGCATTGCATCCCAGGATCCAAACAGCAGCTGCTCCTGCAAGCAAAGCCCTCTCTTACCAGACAAATCTCCAGTGCCAGCAGAAGCACCAAAGAAGTAGCCGGTTGGCAGCTGCACCCCTGCAATATCAATGCAGTTCTTCCATTCATTCTTGTCCTCCACGTCAGTCATCACCTGCAAGACCAGGGTGAGTCACACCAAGAACACACATCGCCAGCCTGCCCGCCTGCAGCTCTTTTGGAGCTGGAGGAAAACCATCTCCAGGGCACCTACTGACACAGCAACACCCCCTGCAGAAGGTGGCAGCCCCATCTCACCGTCAGGCGGCCGCGGGAGTACCGGATGGCCAGGAAGGTGTCGTGGTTCTGGTTGCGCAGGTCGGCGGTGCAGCCCGCCAGCTCCGTCCAGCGCCCGTCCTTGCTGTGCTCGTATGTCAGGGAACCGTTGTTCACCATGGCCGAGATGTAGGGGAACACGCGCTGCAGGGGCAGAGCAGCAGCTGCAGACCCACAGCCACCTTCCCTCCCCTGCCTGTCCAGAACCCCAACGGGAGCAGGAGCTTGGGCAGGCACAGCCGGGCACGATGACAAAGTCAAGGCTGCTTTTCATTGGGAAACTGCTTCTGAACTGAAGGAGAGCTTGTTCTGGCTAAAGCAGAGTGGCTGTTTCTGACCTTCTGTGCAGAGACCCCCCTGAGCCCCCCCTGTACCGTGTGGTCGGGGCAATGAGCCCACCCCAAAACACCTACCTCTGTTGCTTCATCATTGGGATATGTATCTAGGAAAATGGCCAGCCCATGAAAGTTGTCCTTGCTGCCAAAGACAGGACCTGAAACAGGGCAAAACACAGGGTATTGAAGGCTGTTGGATGGAATTTGTGCTCACAGACTTCTAGTGAAAGATGCTGTGAGAACTGTTTATTGCCAGGGACATGACTGAGGGCATCTGTTCCCAGAGCAGAAGGTGCAGGATGTGCCATCCCCATCCAGTGAAACCAGGCAGAGAGAAGCTCACTCTCCCTGGCCAGAAACTCTCCAGGCCAGGGACAGCTCCCCAGGTGGCCCCGGGACACATGCAAGAGCTGAGAAGGCCTCAGCTTGGCCAGACAGCCCCCAGCTGCAGCCTGTACCTGGCACCAGGCGCTCCTGCGTGTACCAAAGGGCCAGGCCGTCCCCGTGCAGGTTCTTCTTGCCGGCTCCGTGGATCCTGAAGTGGACATGAAGCTCCCAGTCCTTCAGGAAGCAGGGCTGCGTGGAGAAACGGCCCAGTGGCCTCAGGGTAAGAGCGAGGAGGCGCCGGGGCCGTTCCTGACCCACGCCGGCCTCCCCTCTGTCCCCCCGGAGCCCCCCCGCCGGCCC